TGTGTGTCAGAGTAGAACTGTGCCCACAGGGTTCTCAGTGGATGGTTTTTCATAAGTAGATTCCACTCATGGTGCCCTGTGTGTGTCAGAGTAGAACTGAGCTCCAACGGGTTCTCAGTGGATGAATTTTCATAAATAGATCCCACTCATGGTGCCCCCGGTTGTGTGTCAGAGTAGAACTGTGCCCATCAAAGGAAGAATAAATAAACAAATTTTGGTACATACACACAATGGAATATTATGCTACCCTGAAGAATAACAAGGAAGCAGCAAGGCACTTCACAACATGGATGAACCTTGAGGCCATTATGCTGAGTGAAATCAGTCAGGCACAAAAGGAGAACTATGGCATAGGACCATTATTGTGAAAGACTAAGAAAAAGCACACTAAATGGGGAAAAAAAATTATTTTTGTTGTTGTTGTTGGTGTTAGTTACTGGGGTTGATGGGGTGGGATGAGGAGAGGGAGGTGAAGATGGAGTACAAGGGAGGGAATAGGCACAGGACACTCTGGGTGCTGGTGGGGATATACATTAGAACAGAAGATGCTTCTTGAAGGAAAACCCAGCAAGAAAAACCAATAAAATAACAGCAGTCCAACTGACGACTACAAGAAAAGCAAGTTGTTCCCCTGGAGCCCATCAAGGCAAGTGGTCAGGTCCCCTCAATCCAAGACTGAAACTCAAATGGAATATACTAACAGGCATATGTGGTCCTGCTACTGACCATGTTGGTCACTGATATGGGGAAGTTGGGGGAAAAACAGCAATGAAGTTGTGAACTAAGTCCGACCACATTCAATAGACTCCTCTTAACCTGGACTAATGAGACCTGTGGACTCCTGGGCCCAGGGGCAGGGACATGGCCCCAGAGGACTAGAACAGCGTGTGAAGCATCCAGCTGATATGAAGTGAGGGGAGATGCACAAGAACACCCACACTTGCAGATCGTACCCATTTGACCTGGCATCAATGGCTGGATGATCAGAACATGACTAGAGGAAGAAAAAGGGGGGGAGAGGGGGAAGAAAGAAATGAATAACCCACTACAAGTAGATGAACTTGACCTATGTTTATGGATACAGTATGACAAAGGAGCGGACAAACCTTTACAGTGAGGATCATTCCCACCCCCTTGGTACACAGGGTCGACAGGATGGGGAACTTAGACATTGGCTACCCAAAATGGGGTGGGGGGTGGGGAGGTGTACAAAGGCAAGAGGTGACTGGCTTACAAGCTTTCAATAGGGAACCTAGCTCCACAGGATACAGGGAAAGGTAGAATCTCCACTGAACTGTTTCCAACCTGTCTGGATGGGGTTGATAAAAGGTGAGGGTGATAGG